TAATTAACTGTTACCAAGGAAAGGAACAAAAAACAAAGCAAGAAGAAGAAAAAACCGGGCTTGTAAACAGTTAAGCAACATGACCTTTCAAAATTGAACTAAATTATCTTTTAAATGTCTGATAACTACTTTTTTCTGAACATCCCATCAATAACGAGAGGCATAAACCAAATTATTTTTTAAACAATTTTGTCTAGAGTTTTTAACTATTTGTACACCGATAACACCGGTCAACATGGGTTCCGTCCTTCGAACCAAACCAATTTTTTTCGATTCCTAGGTACTACAGAAGCCCGAAAATGGCCATATTAACTTCAGAAAAATTGGCTGGTCCTCAGGGCGCCGCCATTTTGAATTTTTCAAAATTAAGAAAACTCACGATTAGATATTTGCAAATATCTCCTCAACGGTTCATCTCACGAAAAAACCAAAAAACCAGTGGAAAGAGCATAAAATTTCCTATAGAAATCATCCTCTTTTATTTTTTCTAACTTAATTTTTTGGTCGTGAAATTAACGTTTTCTTCAAAAATTAGCTTAAAAAAGGCGTATTTTTGCTGATTTTAGTAGAAACTTTGCTACATACCTCCAGCCACAATTATCTGAGAAAAAAACTGTCATGCTCATTGAAAAGAACGTAAAATTTACTGCTAGAAAACATATGTCATTAGTTCCTAGACTTGATTTAATCCTGTGAAACAGCAGTTTATCAGCTCCGCCCTTAAAATGTGATTTTTTCTACCATTTTCCCTAGAATCACGATAAAAAGAGAAAAAACTCTGAACACGTGACCCAAACTGTGTGCCAAAGAGGTCAAAAATTTTCGATCAGAGTCAACAATTGTGAGTTCCAATGAGTATCAGTACAGAACAGAGGGGGGAGAGAGTTCAGCTCAGGCAGTTTGCATTGGAATATTAAGGTAAGGTAACGTCGAGAGATCTATAATTTTGGGTCTTTTTATACCTCATCAGTAGATCACACTCGTCAAGTGAATCCAACTGAAAATCTCGCAAAATCCAAGACGGCATCAAAGCTCAAGTTCGAAGTACAAGTTTTGTATTACAAGACGGCAAGTTTCGTATTGGTACTCATTGGACCTCAAAATGTTTGACTCTGATTGAAAATTTTTGAAGTTTTTGGCTTTTGATCTCACTGACGAGTGTGATCTACTGACGAGATCTATAACAAGACCCAAAATTATAGATCTCTCGCCGTGGTCTCTTCTTCATATTCTGATGCCAATTGCCTGAGCTGAACGCTCTTTCTCTTCAGTTATGGACTGCCGTACTGGTTATCCATTACAGCTCAAAATATTGACTCCAATTGAAAATTTTGGAACTTTTTGGTTTGGTTTTCAAAATAGTGTGGACCCAGCACTATTTTGCCGCCATTTTACACAGTTCGGGTCACGTTTTTAGGGGTTTTTCTCTTTTTTCGTGATTCTAGGGAAAATGGTCGAAAAAATTACATTTTAAGGGCGGAGCTGATAAATTGCTGTTTCACAGGATTAAATCGAGTTTGAAACTATTGACACATGTTTCCTACAAATAAGTGAATCGCAAATCAGGGCTTATCCATCAGAATAAGCGATGACGTTAGCAGTTGTAATTAATTTTTTAAACGTGTAAAATTGAAATATTTCTTAAATCCACACACGTCACGCCTTTAAGCCGCAATTCTTAAAACTAAAATGTCACAAATTGTGAAAGGAAGGTTACTTTAACCTTCATTTATGAATTTTACGACCCAATAAACCTGTAAATGGATACATATCTTGCTATTCTAAGGTCAAGGCTGACTGTATGATCCTGTGAGGGATAATTTCGGCGGCCATCTTGGATTTTGGACATCCTAAGGGGCCGGGGTGAATTTTGAATTCAAGATTTGGATTCTACGACCAGAAATCTATGGGGTTCGATACGTCACATGATATGAGAAGCTATTATAGAATTTTTGGTTCCAAAATTTCAGCAATTTTGGCCGCCATCTTGTAATTTGAAGCCTTAAATGAATCGCAAAGGATTTTTTAACATCATTTTTGGATTTTACGGCCCAAAAAATGGTATGTAAGATACCTCACATGCCATATAGGAGCACACGTGGCCGTTTGACTTTCAGGAGGGGAAATTTGGCCGCCATCTTGGATATAAGGGTCTTTAAGAAGTCGGAGTACATTTTTAAGCATATATTTGAAATTTTCGACCAAAAATACGTAGGAATCGACATACAAGTCGACCATGGGAGTCACTTTCACCCACTTCACTCCCGTAGCGGCCATTTTGGGCGCCATCTTGAATTTAAGGGTGTTCCGGGAAAAATTGAGCCTGGCAGCATCGAAATTCTGTTTCAGGACATCAAGACGAAGAGATCAAGCCGTCTCGCCAGCTTGTATCATTAACGGTCCCACGGGACCCCAAAAATGAACATGTGCTCCCGGACTATTACTTTCATAACAAAAAACAAGAATAAATATACAAATAAGAAATATTAAGAGAATTATTTCAACTTCTCCCATCTATGAAGTCGTTGATGGAATAGGGAAATTGCCCAAGTTGATGTTGCCTGACCAGGGCATTCTGGCTTCGAGGCTCCTTTTTAATTTTTTTCTTCATGGTAAGTGGTAAATTACACCACGTCTCAAGTCAATGTTTTATTTATTTTTATGACTAAGCTTTCTTTTCTATTTCTGGTGTTGTGGTTGTGCACCACTCTGGACTCCTGTAGTTTCTTGTTGTATAGTTTCAAAGATGAATATATGATCAATGCTGGAGCGGTTAAGAGTTGTGATTTTTTAAGATGTACCTTGCAAGAAAGGGGTTGCAAGAGAAGGTTCCTTGTTTCTGAGGGGTGTTTTAAGGACAAGTATCTAGACAAGAAAAAAAACCTAGTCTTCAGTCAAAATAGTTTTTACTTTCTCAACAAAATTGGATTTCAAAAATCAGTTCAAAAGTTGCAGGCATGTAGAAAAGAGACTTCAAATGTCCATGCAACATCAACCCAGATAAACCTTGATAGGTACCAAGGATTCTTTCTAATCGTTTAGATTTTTTTGAATATGTACTTTAATTACTTGAGATACCATTAAACAAATTAAAATACACATACCATTTGGATTAATGATTTCACCGGCTGAAATGACTGTGCAAGACTCTTCTGAGACGGTTACAGTTTCCGGGCTCTTCCTAGAATAAAAGAAACAAACAAGATATGTTCCTGTTAGTAAGTTTACCCTCTTAAAAAATCTACTAAAATTGATCAATTTGATTGATTGTGGTTCCAAAATCTTTCCTAGGCTATACACGGTCCAAGAATTATAAGAAATCTAAAATAAAGAGATAAGTGAGAAGTGGTATAACGCTGCCCATTTAATTTTGCTACTAAAAGACTCTTCTGAAAATTAGAATATATCCATAAAGGCAGGGAAAATTGTAGTTATTTTCCTTTCTTTTTCAGTAGATTCATCCACAACAAAACAGGATCTGAACATGTATTGCAGCTTTTAAGAATTTCTCACTTGTATAACTCTGTGACAGTTAGATGACAATGCCTGTAAGAAGACAATGCTTGATGACAGAGATTCATGTAGGTGAAATAAGAACCAATGTGTTGTGGTTACATTTTTTTTTCAAACACAAATACCATACAAATATTTTTTAACCACAACACCTTGGTTCTTATTTCACCTACATTACAAAATGGTGTTGTTCAAGTGGAACTCTATTAGCGGAGATTCATGATCAAACCAATCAATGACACCTCATCATTTCAGCTTTGTTTCATGGGAGCCATTCATTTGCATTACAATAACCTACACACTTTACAGATTTCTATACAGTTTTCAACGTTAAGTCAGTAGGGTAATGGAGAATTTGCATACAAATTTTTTATTGCTTCATCTGAAAGTGCTTAAGAAGCTGTTTTCACAGTATTTTTTAAATTTTTTTCTGATATGAGAAATAGTATAAAAATAAATTTAAAAGTGAGAAAATGCACCGCCTAATGACGTCATCTGGCGGCATTTCCCATTTAAACACATGTATTTTAGAAGATTAAATCATTTTGTCAAATCTTCTCCAATAATTGTTCAATTCATGCACCAAAGGTATCCTCGTGTTCAGTTCACTCATTACTTTCCACTTAAACACGAAATTCATCAAATTTCAGACACCTGCAAATTCTCTTTTAACCCATTCGCATGTCATTTACAATGCGGCTATACCATTTGTTTTCCAATGAAAATACTTTTACCTTCATATGAAAAATAAAATCACCAAGAATCCTTCAGGTTAGCGACAAACTTTTCCAGAATGATATTTAGAACAATGCTAACAGGGCTATCTATCAAAAAGTTGGAGAGCAATGACGAAAACAATCGCTTAGCAACACCGCGAAATGGCGTGCCATGATGAGTATACTGTCAATGCATGTTTATCCCAGGTGCGCCATGACGAGTATTCTCGTCAATACATTCATCACACTTCTACATCTCAATCACGCTCTTTTATGGAGACTAGTGGCACTCTGAACATGAGTAGTTGGAAATTCTATAGACCATAAAAGAGAACAAAATTGGATAGAAGATAAAACAATAAATTGATGGGTACAATCCCACTTGCATGAGATGGCTCCAAAACCTAGCACTAAAATTAGTGACAGTAAATTGAAGTGGTAAAAATAAATGAGGATTAAATTACCTGGTACAACACAGTAAAAGGCCTGAAAGTATGAAGACGGAGGAAAATGAGAGTAAAACCGCCAGAGATGCAAATAGGTAATCTTCGTAGTTTAGATTTTTGTTCAATTTAAAACGGATCACTTTCTTCCTATCTGCCTCTGATACATCTACCTCTGGACCATCAACAGTGCTTGATATGCAGTCTGAATCATCACTGTGGAGATCAAATACAATGTACAGACCCTCAGGAAAATCCTGCCGCTAAAAGAAAAAAATCAGATAGAAATTGATCAAAAATATCAAAACGAGTCCTTAGTAAAGTTTAAAACTTATTCAGCGCAATGACATGAATATCTTGAATCGGACAGCTTGACAGCATTTGATGTTACAAAATTTCCTCTCATGTAAATGTTATCCTGAATAATTTCTACAAAAATGATTTGACGAATACTTACACTGAAACACGAATAACCACCTATAGCAGAAAATGTTTTGGTGAGAAATTTGCATTTGAAGTTTTGATTATGAGATGCATCGCTGAGTTTGCGCAGTAGGAAAACTGCAAAAACATTTTTTTGTAATTGGTTATACCCTTCGAACAATCCGCTTGCGATTTTGGATAATATTTCAATTCTCACTTTAAAATTGTTGATTTAAAAAATGTTGTTATAGGTGGTTATTCCCCTCGACACATAGTTTCAACGCAAATCGCTGATTAATTGTTTGAAAAATACAATCAATGCTTTCCGACAGTCATAGAATGTCATGTAACGGAAAATAATGGCCCTGTGACATTGATGCAGTGCGTGACTGTGTGAATGGGCAGAGAAACATCGATATGCGCATGGGTACATGTTTACAGGTGGTTATTCTACCCAACACCAAGTCTCAAGATGAAATGACCATTAAAATTATCGGAAACACAAATAGATGCTTTGTAAACGTCATATATCACCAAGTGATGTAAGTAGGCTGAAAAACACCGGTACTGGTATAGGTGGTTGTTCCATCCACCCGCCAGTTGGTCTGACTTCACTGCACTAAAAGTGGATTCTTTAGCTGAGTATTCAAGGTATCGACTTGCCATCACTACCCAGGATACCCAACGGTAAAATAATTACAACAGGACGATGGGGGAGTAACCACCTATACATGTATAGGTGGTTATTCAAGGCGTGGTCTTAATTATAAATGTGACAGAAATGTCACTTCAATATGCATTCTATATAATAGTTTTGCTTTACAATACCTGTCAATGTTAATTAGTTGGTATGCAAATATGCGCTCTTATGAATTTAAACTTTCAAACAATAAAAAAAGAATAAAATTATGAACAATCTCACTCTGCAAAAGACTTGCCAAAAAGTGAATATCAATGGTGGTGATTTTTTTTTTTGAAAAAAAATTTGAAAAACAAATGCTAAGCTCAAGAATGAAGGGGTCCACACCTTTGACCTCAAACTGATTTTAAAAAAGTTAACTCAGAATCACTTGTTGTTAAAAGTTAAAGGTTGCACTGTTGATGTTGAAATTATTTGGGGTTTTAGCCAAAGTAACTCTAATGGCAAAAAAGAATGAAAGTAGAAAGAAAAAATGATGATTACCGTCAGCATAATTCCTCCTTTGGAACTGACCGTTTCCCAATCTCCTCTGTACTGAATTGTGTGTTCCAGATCAAAAACGGGACACTGAAACATTTAGCATGAGAACTAGGGAAAATTGGCTACGTATGTTTATATATATTTTATATTCTGACAGTAAAACAATCCATTCAACCATCCCAAAAAAGCAATGCGCAGAGGCAAAAATCTAATAAAAAATTGAAAATATTAAAGCTATTTTTGATTCACTCCTGTCCACTTAGGCTCACCTCAAAATCTGTCCTCTAGTAAAAGGATCTATTTTCAAGATATATTTTTCCAGGGGTACAGAAACTTTCTGATCACACAGACGGCCACTTGTGTGAAGAAATGGGAAGGGTAGCTTGCTATGACATTTAAATCAGGTGTTTCTTCGAATATTGCCAGGATTTGCGTAATTCTTGCAGAATTGTGGCAATTTTAGAAAAAGGACAAAAAAAGGTCGTACATACAGCTTTGAAAACTTTGAGAAAAAAGGGGTTCTTAATAGGGGAGGGTCAATTCGAAAAATGGGAGGGCTAAGAACTTACTGCAAACTTGTAATTTTCTTACAAAAAATGTCTTACTGATATGTTTTGGATGGATAGGGTCATGCACGTTTTATCTGGTGAGTCGATTTCAAGAAGAACAGATGATACGTTTTCACTAAAGTTGTAAAGGAAGAATGCTGGCTCTGAAGGTGTGATTACTGTTTCATATTCATCCTCCAATCTGTGAGTAGAAAGAAAATAAGAGTTATAAATTTATTTTCTTCGGAGAGAAAGTCCTCAAGGTGCTAGAAAATATTATGAAAATGTTGTTCGCTGTTCTTCTCTGTTACTGCAGCCACTCAAATCAGAGACAACGGAGAAGAAAAAATGTGTTTTCAAACTGCTGCTGCGTACTATGTCAATGTGGAACATCTGGGATCACAGAATTCTGGATCTCGGTTTCCATTAAGAGAAGAGAGGCAGGGGCAGTCAGAAAAGCCACTCAGTTAGTGCATACTTTTGGATTTCTGCTGAGTTTATCCAGCCAATAAATTGCTCAACTTACAGTCTGCTCATACTTTTCCCTTCTCGGAGAATTACCTTGAAAATGAGGAGAGGTCAGGAGAGCAACTTCTAGGATCCCTAGTGAGATAAGAGGGAGACTTTAATTTGCACGTCTATACACAATTTGAATTTCATCCATATCGCTCTGCTCTGACTACTTTCCATCTCAGTGCAAAATGGAGCCTTTGGATTATAGACATGTTTGAGCTTGTGGCACACCCCGAGATTTGACACATTGATATTTGCTCAAGCTGGTTCTTGACGATAATAAGAACAGAAAATTCACTTGTCGTTGAATTTCAAAAGATAGTGGGGAAAAATGCCATTCAGAGTTTTTCTTGACCTTGAATACGTTCTTTTCCAAATTAATACCTTATTCTTCCTGATTCCTGTACTTGAGGAAACCTATGGATGAGTTTTGATGGGGCTTACTTGATGCTGAAATTTTGTTGCTTTACAACTTCCAGAGAGAAATTAACATTGGATGGACTGGATGTGGAGACACTAATGACCATTTCATGCTCGCCTTCTGGGTTTTGTACATCCTCTAAATCAGTGCATAGTGTCCTAGATGTACGATGATATGCATAACTGGAACAAAAAAAATCGACTCACAGAACTGAAGATTGTTTGGTTTTTTCGGATGTAATGGGAATCATTTAGAGATTTTATTCACCTATCTAAATTGGTGCGATGGGTCAATTGCACTAGTCGCAGAATTGTGTTTAGATGGTTTAAGCGTACAGATATGCAAAAATGAGTAAGATCTGTCCAAACGCAAAATTCCTTTCTCCTGCATTAGTTTTTGCTGCTTCTAGCATTTGGCCTTCAAACATGATACACATGCTGCCTTCTATTTTGAGTAGATCGGAGCTTGCAGTTAGAGTACGTATTTACATAAACTTCAGTTAGAGTACATATCATGGAAAACAGGTGTTTAAAATATTCCTTTCGCTGTGTTCCCTTGCTCTACTTCATAAACAATTTCATAAACAAAATTCCAACTCAAACTTAAATTTCATTCTTGATGATGAAGCATTGGCAAATATGAAATAATGTTCACATTGATTAAATAAAAGAAATGAGATGAAGGCAATATACAAACCTATTTTGTTTGGACTGAATTGTGAGAGGAAGCTTCCAAGATAAAACACTTCTTCTCTGCTGGACTACGATTATAATTGGGTATGATTCGTCGGCACTAGTACTACTGATGGTCACCCGAGGAGGCTCCAAGTCACTTACATCCTGAAAGACATAAATTTATAGACAGCGCTCAGGGGCAAATTGAAGAAATGAGGGGGTAGCTTTTTCAGCTATGCTTTTTGTTTCAATCTTAATTGAAAAGCAAAAAGAAAGGGGCACCAATTTTTAAAGCTAGGGGAAGCCAATAGCTAATAGCTTTGGGAAAAATTAATTTGATTCCTGCTCAAGTATGCCTTGGAATCCTTCAAGTAAAGATGCAGGAAATCCTTAAAAATGCTTCTTTAAAAATTTGTCAGGGAAAATTAGCTAGAAACTGCAGTGCTCTTGTGAGACCATTTTGTTAGATGGAGCAGGATGCTCCAGGATTAGCAGGATGGAGGTAACTGCTCTTTTTCATACTGGCTACAGGTCTCACTTAGTTCTTCATGTAATTTGCTGTTCTTCTCGAGACATTTTGGTCAGAGTTTAAAGTGTAAACTCAATAGCAGGTTGCTCCTTTTCTTTGTATAGATATATCTCATTTAGGATCAAAATTAGCAAAGTCTAAGATTTCGTAAAAGTGTTCTGTTGACAATTCTGGTTGACCCATCAACAGTCCTGTAAACAAGCCACCAGGCTCTACCAACAACATTAACGTGCAAGACAACTGTTTACGGATTTTATTAACAGTTGACGAGCGAAAATTTGCTTATTGGTGACCATCCTGAAAGGACAAAGAATTAATGGAGAAAGAGATGAAGTTACCTTGTAATTTGGATATTCAAAGAGATATGAGACAGTCTTGTTGATTTCCATGGTATAAACTTGACAGTAATTTGCAAATAGAGGAATAGGTTTTATTGGAAAAGGGGGTTCATAAATTCCAGTAAGAGACCAATCCCAAGCATTCACATGCTCAGCGGCCAAAAGGTGTAAGAATAGGTATGCTGGAAAATACTTAGGAATCAACATGATAAAAAACTGAAGTGTTAGCAGAAAACTTGGACCGAATTTCTACCACAAAAATACATAGATACCTCTTATGACTGTAAAAGTTCACTGATAAAAATGTGAATGGCAATGGTAAGTGGATAGAGTGTCTGTTTATTAATTAATTGCGATGATCTCGAAAATCGTCAATGGGAAATCAATTAAACATTATCCCACCTCGTATCATGCTCGCAAAATTTTGCTAGAAATGGGAATGTGATGTGAATTTAATTTGAATGTGAATGAAAGTGGAAGAAAACACTTCATAGTAACTTCGCTGATGTTTACTTTTAGCAGGCGGAGGAAAGATAAGCTGATAAGTGATAAGCATGGCTTCCTCGAGCGAGCAGAGCAGTCCGGATGGCTGCGATGGCCGGCAACTAAGCGCTCCCTGGCGGAGAAAGATTTGCCTTCTCGTGGATTCTTTTGTGCGCTGAGGGCTAAATTCTTGAAAAAAAGGGTATATTTTTGGCGTTTTCCGACCATTTTCGCCTGAAGAAAAATTGCTCCATGACAGTGAAAGGTGAAAAACTCGATTTTTGGCAGATATACGTGATCTTACGGATTTTTGTGAGGTCCAACAACTGATAGTAACAGAAGGTTGCGAGAGTCCTACGCGAGGTCGCAGCACTAGTAACTGCTCACAGATGTTTACATTGCCATTATGAAAGTTTAGGGTCCTAAGAAAAAAAATGATGCAACCTCTCCGATTGGTCCGATTGGCGGCAAAATCGGGACAAGTTTGAAATTCAAGTAAAAAGCGGCAACGGAATGAAAAATTTCAACGGAAAAGAAACCAAAGCCGTCACACTATCGATGAGGACTTTTCTGGGGGGACCCAGGGGGTCATAAGGACTCACTGTGCCAAAAATCAGCTTGTTATTGAATTTTTCCCTTAACTTTTGTATAATTCCTCGACTAGTAGACCGGATTTCGGGGCTCCGCTACGCTGCCGCTGCCATATGGGGAACGCGTGTTTCGCATTGGTTTATTGCTTGCAACTCTAAATTTTTTTTTACTTGCACTAAAATAAAAACAGACTTACTTGAAGAACGCAAAATTTCCTGTCAAAAAATTCGTGGAAAAAAAAAACAAAAAAAAAATCACTGACCGAAAATGTGGGGTTTTAAAAAAGCCACGGCAAAAAATCTCATGATCAGCAACCTTCTTTCTCATTTTTCTCAAAATTGTCGATTTCAGGGGAAAATGTCTATGAACCTTTTAGAAAGGACATAAAATTTCCTATCAGTTTACGCACAGCATTTTCGAAAAAATAATTATTGCGGCCAAAAATATGGGTTTTAAAAACGGCCAAGGCAAAAATTCTTGTTATCAGTGACCTTTTTTCCTCATTTTTCTTTTAAATCGTCGACTTTTGAGGAAAATGTCAAACCGGTTAAAAAAAAGAAGTAAAATTTACTCATTACAAAAAAATTATGAAACCAAAAATCTTAGATATGACCAAAAATACTCTAGTAACAGTGACTGTTGAGAAAAGTTGTAAAAAAACTCGTAAATTTTAAAAGAACTTAAAATTTACTTCAAAATCACTTGAAAATCACGTGAAAAAACTCTTGAAATATTCGTATCAGAAGATCCTTATTGGGGCTTTTTTTACATAAAATTGAAGAAAAATTTCAAGTACATTTTTTATGAACTTCCTGCGAGAAAAAACGAGGGGAAAAAAGTGAACAGAAAAGTGTAAAAGGAAAAGTTGCAGCCCATAAAAATTGAGGATATAGTTTGTTGTTTTTCACGTAAATTTTACTTTTTATTTTAATTAAAATAACACTATTTTTTTTATTTAAAAGAATTCCCCGAAAGAGTTTCCTAAAACGAGTATTTTAAGAGGTTTTTTTACTTAAAATTTACGGACTCTTAAAATTTACAAGTTTTTTACATTTTTTTGGACAACTTTTCGTAGAATTTTTTCTAAGAGTCATTGATGCTAAGACATGGACTTAGCTGCGGCAAAAATTCTGAAAACTTCAAAACTCTAAATGGTATGAAGGTTCTTCAAAGATAAGACATTATTGTTTTTGGAGTTCGCAAAATCCAATTAAGCAGGTATATAAAAAGCAATTTTTACTTTAATAATCGTTTTTCGAGAAGTACTGAACATATTGTCCCAAAAATATGTACATCGAAAGCCACAGTGCGAAACTGCGCACCTCCATTTCAGCGGTTCAAAATTTCCATTCCAAATTTGCTTTATCAAAGAAACTGAAGTCAAGTGTACGGCTTAAAAATTTGAACAGAATATTCTGCCAATAGAGAAGAAAATTAAAAAAAGTTTACAAGACTTTATGTTGACTAGTTTTCCAAAGGAAAAATAAGGTATGGGAGGAAGTCTGCGGCCCGTGGCGCCGCCGCAAATGGACACTCGTAGTTTCGCACTTTGGCCATGTGTATTCTCTATATGTAGAAAACTAAAATAAATAAATAAAAAAAGTAGAAAAATGCAAGTCGGTGAGTGCCATTTCCACATTTATTTTTATAAATTGACATGGAATGACCCATCTCGGTTACATCTGGGGAGCTACCAATGTTAGTACAAAAACTGAGGGAAGTTTCGTTCACAATTAAGGGGAGGGTAGCAAAAGACTGTTTCTTCGAACAACCTCTTTTAAGGTTACACATGGCTTGAAAATTATTTTTACAAAGAACCGAATGGGCTGCTCGTAGACGTAGGTAATCTATTACACAAGAAAATAGTACCTATAAGATACAAAGATGAAACTGACAGTTTAAAAATATTGATATGTAAAAAATAAAGCTCTTGGAATATTCTTGAGTAGGTAAGTACACTTATAGGCGCAAGAAAAACATAAAGATTCAGAGTGTTTATCGTTCATGATTGATAAGAATTCATTATTTACAGTATTTACAAGTAAAAATATAAGTCAAAGGAAACACAGAGCTCAAGACTAAGTTTCAAAAACAATAGCTGAGAAAGATATAACCAGTACAGAATGAGTAAGTAACTAAGAAAAAAACAGATGCTGACTCCATGAATGACCCTCTGATCTTTTAATTGTCAGAAACCTCATTTCCATAACAGAATTCTCCTATGGGTTGCTCAAAGGTAATGCTGCTAGCCTCCATACACAGGAAAACAGGTATGGACAGAGCAGCTGCAGCAGGGCATCATGAGGAGAAAAGTCTTCGAGTCGTAATACAATAGCCAAACTTTCTCTTACCAACACATTGACAGAGCTCACAAATTATGATTTGGACTGTCTCTGATCAAACATTGACAGAGCTCCTGTACACAAGCCATCCTCACAGACTTGAGACGCACAAGTCAGACGAGCCAGTTCAATGACCATACCACTTTTTTACTACGATAACTGGCTTCTGAGAGGTTCCATTTATTGAGATTGGGGCAAAGAATTGATATTGGGGTTATACCTCATTGGACCTCTCTTTCTCGAACTCGTAGGACGACAAATTGCCGTTGAAAATAGGCTGGTGCGGGTGGTTTAGATTGCCGATCGCCCCGAATAACACACATAAATTGTAGGTGCAAAAAAACAAAATTTTACTAAATCGAAATCTTTCTTGTGGACTAATCATTTAACTACTGTTTCAATAAAAAGGATGCTTTTTTGTTTCCGCCTCATATCAAATCTGTTTAGGTTCTTTTTTTCAATTTTGTAAAAATAGGAATATATTTTTTCACAAAACTACTGAAAATATAATAATAGCAAGGATAACAAAGGGAGGCATCAGTGAATGCTGCCCTAATTGGAAATAGGCATTCAGTAAGATGGGGTCCATCAAGTTTATGTGCCAAAAAACAGAAAAAATAATCTTCCCACGCTTGACCTATCTCTTTCTTGGAACTTTTAAAGTTTCAATACCTAAACATGCCTAGATCCAGCATTTTCTGACCACATACTGTCTGCAAATGACAGTGGATGCCCATACAATTCACGATTCCCGGTCACTTAATTGTGTTTCCATCGCAATTAATTATCGCCAACCTTAGGCTCCATATCAAAATGTGCTGTTCTGTTTCAAGAGGACCGATTTGGATTAAGTTTCACATGCTTTAAGGGGATAACAGTCGGTACCTGACTGATGGCAAAAATTATCTGATGATTCATGAGATAACAACTAGTACGTACCTTATACTTTTTCTTCAGCCCCCTAAGTAAGAGGTTAGAAAACATTCGAATTCAACTTATTGGAACGCACTGGGATTTACAAGAATAGGTACGCTGTATTGAACACAACCGTGGAAAGCTTAGACAACAAATTGCTGAGAAAATTTTATGAAAACGTAAGGAAAACAGTATGGTCACCTTAAACACCTCATCTCATGCCACAAATGGCCAAAATTAAAACGCCGGTGTCATGGGGTTGTAGCTTGATTTCTGTATTGCCTTGAAAGTTAGTATTCCTAAGGTCAGTTCAAGCAATGCCAAAAGCATTTTCATGCTTAAAGAAGCTCAAAAAAGCTTTCTGGGCTTAAAAATAATGCTTACAATTGTATTGGTAAAAATAATGTTCCTTGTTGACCTGAAGCTCATGACATCACATGAAGCTAAAGGCCATGGTTTCGATTATCGTGGATCCAATGTAACATGGCCACCATATGACCCGCGCCTGCGCTACATGATACTCTCATTTGATCTTCAGAGCTTGTATGATTTTAAAGAGTCGCAAGCACTGTCAGGAAACATAACCTCTTGTTACGATTGGGACTAGAAAAAGAATTAACAAATGCAGACAAACAGATAAACAGTGGTAAATTCTTCATGTAAAATCACAACATCTATTGGCCCAATATATTTTTGTTTGAAATGTAGTTGGATTTTCAGGGATTTGAGGGTCATTTTCTCAGCTACAATTTGATTACATGAAACACTGGAAAATGCAGGTACCCAATTTTTTTACTTAATTTCTGGTAATTCTGATTATTGTGCAACATGCTCATTAATTATCATTAATGAGCAGGCGGTCAGAGAGATCGAGAGCCAAGCAGAGCTTAGAGAGAGAAATGCATATTGATTAAATTAACAGTGAAAATCGGGGTAAGTGACAGTTCTTGAGAAGTCAAAGAAAACACTAAATGGAAAGGCTAATGCCGAAAATGAAGCTAAAAACTTTCTGCATCCTTGACCGAAACCAAAGTCTTGTTAGGCGCCAGAGATTTCATTTTAGAATTATTCCCTTCTACATAGTTACAGAAATCAGGTCATACGTTGCCCAAATTTGTAAGGAGACTGTTTAAACAATGCAAAATCCTGGAATTTTCTTATCTGACTGACACTTTTTGTGCACTTTGGCCCCTAAAATTAGTGGAACGCTCATTTTAGGTGCAATAGGTATTCCTTTCAGAGGACAACTTTTAACTGACTGTTCAAGGATCCCATGTTTTTCCAAACACTGGGCCCTTGACGTTAAATGTTTCAATGTTCAATATAAAATTAATGTGTCTATAATAATAAAAAATTCACTGGAGTTATATTCTCTTGAAAAATGATGGAATTATTCAAGAGCTAAAAATAACTACTGTGCGAAATGCTGGAAAAATTTGCAGATACCATAACGACTGGACATGGAAAGAAAGAATTGAGAAAAGCTACTGTCATTTGAGAGGGATTTAACAAGAAAGATTGGTACAGAAACTTAAGACTCTCTAACAATATTATTTACAAATTAGAGCAAAAGTAACTTACCAAATACATACAATTGGTAAAAATAAAAAGGAAAGGTAACCGACTACAGTGAAGAGAGGAATGGAGGGTTGCACAATTCCTTGAGGAGAGCCAGCCTGCCATAAGAAAAATTTGGCAACACATAGATGCGTTGAGGTTAGGACTGGCACTACAAAGGCAAAGAGGTTTTTAAAATAAATTGCTGGGAAAGCTTAGGGGGGGACCCTCCTCATCCTGGGAGAAACACCCCTGTTTCCTGCTGCATGTTCACACTAACACGAGGGTGCCATCAACCAATCAGTATCTAATTTTTCCCCCAACTGCCCTACCCTGAAACTAGAACACTAATATTTTTTAAAACATTTAAACTACAATAAGGCAAATTAGCGAATATTTCGGGTTTTGTATAAACCAAAACCAAAATCAGGTACTAGGAACTCAGACATAAAAATAACTGCACAAATCTTTTTTTTTAAATTAAAAAATGGGATTAAACGTTCTTCAACTTAATACTGCTATGCTACTTTGCATTTGTTTGAAGGCTAGGCTGACCTGCCATTGGAGGTCATAGATCATGGAAAAAATTGTTATATGAAAGAATAGATTAAAAGCAAGTTGAATTTAAGCTGGTAAAAGTCAAATCTGGTTAAAGTTAAATCTGGTAGGAATACATCTTCCCATAGAGATCTGAAATGCCTCGTTTCACCAAGGGTCATGAATGAAACTCGCAACAATGCATACAGGCTGAAATAAAGCGCACCGAGTTGATGTCGCCCACATTTCCTCAAAATGTGATGTTACAACTGTAGGTAAAAACATCTGGGAAGAAAATGGGGAATTATTCAATTTAAATAAAAAAAAGTGACCGATTGAATCTCTAGCAATAGCATGCTGTGTAACAGTCGAAGTACAAGGAGCATGAAAGTTTGTTAGAAATTCAAATGGCTGACATCAGCAACATCAGGAGGAGTGGCAGGAAAAGTGGTCAAATCTGGAGACTTCTCCTCAGGGTTCTGACATTTCATTGCAACATAATTTGATATTGAAGCCGCAACCATGCTTTGGACTGCATCTGTACAATTTTGAATGATATTCTGTAACAAGAAATCGAAAAACATGTTTGTTAAAAGGAAGAAAACGAAACAGAAGGAGCAAAATAAGAAATCCTCGACCATGTGGAGACGCACTGTTAGAGACAAAAAAATGCAGCCCTAGTTATGAGATTGTATGCTGAATTCACCTTGAGCATTGTTAAAATCTACTGAAATTGTCCACCAGTGATCAGTGTTCAATGATCCACCACCACCATCCTGTTTGAAAAATTATTCCGCTGATAAGCAAGCTTCTGGGCCTTGCTAAATACTTGGGTAACCCTGGAAAAATCGACTTCCGCATTTTTATTCGGTCTGATCTGAAATAAGTTCTAGTATACGTACCGACCCTAAACCTGAATTTCAGTGAAAATGAATACTATTTAGGGATCACTACTCCCCCCCCCCCCCCTTCATAATTTTTTGTCTTGTATTCCGTGAGTGGACTCGGAAACATTTTCCTCTCATAACAAAGTGCTGATGCGAAAGGAGTGTGAGACTTGGCCTGGACTTTCTTCAAAGGAATGTGCTTCACAAGACTCATTCAGTTCTGACCTCCTACCACTAAGGGCCCGCACAGGCCCCCTCCCTACTTAGTGCAATGTAAAACTATTAAAGTTAAAGAGTTTTTACAGTTTAAAATTTTTTCCTATGGGTGCAATTACCAAATTTTTTGTGTTCCTGTTTTAACACGCCATGTTACACATGCCCCCCGCCTCTTCTTCTCTGGGAGAAACAAAATGTATTAAAATACTGACCATTCTGGCTGCGCTTCGCTCATCAGTCACGGCTAGCCAAGGGGCTGTGCCCCCTGGACCTCCGGTCACTCGCTGCGCAAGTGACATTCGGCTCACTCTAAGTGGTTGGACATTTGATCACTATGATGTATACATTTTGGAGACTCTTAGGATAAAAATGATTTTGTCACAGAACTTTGTTACCAGAGCATGCCAATATTAGGTCATTAATAAATATATAGAGATGAAGTAATGATGGGGATCGGTCATTTTTTCAAAAGCGCATCTGACTGGGGCATCAGTTCTATTGCATGGAAGAGAGTGACAACCATGGATCTCCTTCTGCGGTTTAACTTGCTGAAGTAGCAAAAGTTCATCTTTACTTCTTATAAAGATTATAGGTGGGGTAAGGGTCTAAAAACTGCTCAACAATAGTGTAGTTCGAGTCGAATCTCTATGAGCCCACTTGTGTTCTTTTCTTATAGTTTCATTGCATATAAATCTCTCTGATGTTATGGTTTTATTCTCTCAGATTGCATAAGTAATTATATTCTCATTTTATTTCCTTTCCCTTCCATTTTTTTTCAAAATAGCTTTCCTGAGAATACATTTGATGCTGCTAATGGAACCAATTTTTTTTTATAACATCCCCGGCTAAATCGTGGGTTTTCCAGGAGGGTAACCTCTCTTCCCTTCTAGACTCTACTGTAGACAGATAAGTTGTTTTTCCAGCACTTTTCCCAGTTCAAACACATGTAAAATATTCACATTTATCACAAAATCTGGCAACCCTTCCGGACTCGAATTAAAGGTGGAATGAAGAGGAATCCTTCAAAGTTTATATTAATGACAAGAATAATCACATCCATTTTGAAAAAAAAAAAAAAAAAAAACCTTATTAAACTCGATACTTGCTGTAGATGACGCCTTCCGTGAAGCCCTTGAACTATATTAACACCAACTTTCAGGCACTTCGGCAAAATATAATGCCCCTCCTCTTGATTTTTTCATTCAAATCTTTGAAAATCATAAAATTAATGGAAATGAAGCTCCGCCAATGTGAAAATATTGTAGAATTTTGTATGATCTGTTTAGGATCTTATAAAAGTTAGATTGATACATCTAGAAACGAATTTTCAGGGCAATGAAATCATGTTCAGTATTTACCCTCTCATTTCCTCCACATTTTCTCAAATGGGATGAAATCTGCTGCAGAATTGAGACGCCTTCCTTTTACAAAAAAAGAAAGGAACGCTAATTTAACCTTCAAAAAAATACAATTATACTGATATAAAATATTTGATTAGGTTGATCGACGCATGTAAGCACCAAGTTTCAAGTCGATAGCATCATATTTAACCCCCACTACTACTTCATTTACATGTAGATCGCACATTAGTTTTTACGCAGAGGCCAAACACTTAAAGGATCTAATGAGCTTTCAATTCGAAAAAAATCGAAATAGTGACTCCAACCAGTAACAGTGTGTGCTAAAAATGGAAAATTTGTATTTCTCATTCTCGAATCAATGGAAGATGATTTTAGCACAAACAGCAAGGCAGATTGATGCAAATTTCAGTCAGTGATGATAGAAACATATGGCTGTGATGTTTAATTATGATAAAATTCATAATAGAAAATTAGTTGCTCTTCAATAGGATTTTCACTGTTGGTGAACAGTCAGTTGCATTGTTTTTGGTATTTTACATCTCTCACCTGACATTTACATCCACCAAATTTACAGCTTACAGCACCTTGGATCGAGAAAATTGTTATTTTGAAGTTTAATTCTGAACAAAAAAGGTGTCCCCTTGTAACTCGGAGACCATTCCTTTATTAATCTTAACATTTATTCTGGGTTTTGTATCATTTCAAGAGTCGATTTAAACCTTGGTTCTTAGGTCGAATCGACTGCTTAAAATAGGCAAGAAAAAAAAGAGGCTCCTCTTTTGGGAAGTTCTTCCCTAACATTGACAATCCGGCTAGTTTTGCCACGCATTCATTGGAAACAACAAATTGAGGATGAGAGTCTAAAAAACTATTCTGAGAGAGAGAAAGGTGGTGAAAATATGTAAAAACAGTCAATTCACCTTGTTTATGCCTGTGATTTGAGAAAACCTATCATTCAAAGCAGTCATAGTCCACGCTCTCCGTCGGAGCCAATCTAGTCCATCTAACGCAGCTGTAATACACCCAATGGCAATCACGCAAGGAGAGAATACACTAAATTTAAAATCTGAAACACAAGAACAAATTGATTTAAATCTTGAGTGAAAAAAAATTGGAATTTAATAAAATGTTACAAATCTGAGTTGCAATCAACAGGCAAAAAAATAAGAAACAGAGAGACATTATACTTCCTTCCAAAAACATTTTATGGTGCTTCAAGATCTGTTACTGTGAGGTACCGTTAAGAAATATGAGGTGGAGCTGATTCTTAAAAATATCTCTGTTTCCAGTTGCAACTCATGGAATATACTCGGAGTCCCCGTTTTTAGGTTCGTTATAAAGCTAAAATTAAGTTCAGCTGCAACTCTACATTACCGTCCAAAGGTTAAGTTCACAATAAAAGGAGCTTTTTTTTATTTTGTCTTTATTTATTTCATTATTACTTTTTTTTTTATTTTTTGCGAAAGCCAGTGCATTAAAATTATGATAGGTTAGGTTACGTTGGAATGACTGCTTCGCTGGAATTAAGTATTCATTTTCATTCATTTAAAAATTAATTTTTATTCAATACTGGAATTTTTTTTCACTCATTGCCGAGGAGTTAAAACAGCTGACAGGTTGTCTGGGAACAGAGCCATTTACACTTAAGATTTTCGAACCTACAAGTACGATTATGATTCTGGTTCCTGTTCCGAGATGATTGAAAATTTTGGTTCACATTCTCATCCTGGTGCCTTCATGACAGCTTCTGTTTCCATAAAGCAATTTTCAGGATGGCAAGAACTGGTATTTTAGAGATGCACATGGTGTCTCAAAATTTCCTTCCATCCCCTCTAAATAATAAAGTATGTGAGAGTTGATGATTTTGTATACTTCCAATAAAATTCAGTATAAAACTGACATTTTACATTTAACAGTTCCTGGCCGTGGGATAAAAGGCCATTTTTCAAACTGGAACCTACTCGCTCATATTGAATGGGACAGGAGCAAACTTGACAGCTTCCATGCCAACTATTAACTCTTTCCAAAACTCTGGCTTTGGGCATTTGGTACGCATACATATATTTTTTAAGCAAATTAAGTAACAATAAGTATAAAGCATAATTTTTAGGGGCTTACCTCTGACACACATTGCAATAAGAAAATGGGCATGTTTCTGAACTTTGGAATAGTCGTACAGTAAATCTTTGTCTATTCGTCTGACTAAATAATATATGAAATCATGAGGCAAAACAGCAGCCATATCCCATTTCAGCTTAGACAGGACCAAAGATTCCCATAGCTAAAACAAAAAAACATCAGAACCTTTTTAATATGATTAAAAGAACCTGTTAACATTGGTTTCAAAATTTCTGTCTCATTAAAAATGAGTTAATTTACAGCAATAAGCAGAGAACAAACGAAACAAGGAATGCAGATAGCAAAGAAAAGAAAGAAAAAATCCAATGGATGGGATGGTGGGATCCATTCTTGTGAATGGATATGAGTGTTGGCGTCTTGACCACCACAGTTCTTTTTCTAAAGAACAGGAAAAAGGGAAAGAAAAGATCAGAATGTTTACTTTTCGAGGAAAAGAGTAAGAGGTTATCATGTCTTGTGCTAGTCTTTGCTTTATTATTTACATCAATCATATCATCAAAGGTAATACGAAAATCCCTTCCACTCCCTCTAACTTTATACCTCATCAAGGTAAATATTTGAAAAATGGGGGACGTTTCTACGTCAAATAGAGCAACTTTTTGGCTCCCCTTTACTTTTCAGGAGAGGCTAAAATCATTTTTAGATTGCGATACAAAGGTTGCGGGACTAGCATCTCTAGCGGATTCAGCATATTTTTGTAACAAAAAAGGCACAAGCACCAGAAGTCAGCCATCAGCCATCTGCAGTTGCAAGCTTTTCCCTAAACAGTCAGTGGTCAAGTCTATTCTGCTAAGCACTGTCGTTGATGGACTGAAGTTGTGCCCACCTCGTCCAAGGGTCCACACATTAACTAGTGAATTTTTAGCTCCTTCCACGTTCGCAATTGCTGCTCTTGCTCACTGTTTTCTGTCATTACATTTTTGCTCTTCAAAATGCATAAATAGTGCAAAGATCTTCCTGTCACTTTCTTGCCCCCATCAAATGTTTGCTTCAGAACAAAGAAAAGTTACTCATTTTTTTTTTTTCACTTTGCAGTGAGACTTATTTTTCTGTCGAAGCTACTATTTTGCTTCCTCTTTAGTGAGTGTTGTAAATGGCGCAAAAATGTCCCATTGGGCATGATAACTATTGGCTAATCAAAAGAGCGATGAACATTGAGATATTAATCAAAATTCTTCGTTTTTAAAGAGTGACATTGGAAAAAGTAAGGTGGAAGTTGAGGAAAAACACTTTATTCATAGTTATCATTGCTGCAAGGGTTGAAAAGTAACCAGTCACTTTGCTAATGTCTTCTAAAAAGGACATCAAAAATGAGCTGTGACTTTCTGAGATAAAACATTCATTTGTTAGTAAGCACTGCAAATATTTAAAATTTCCAAGGATTATCTTGAGATTCTCTGGCTGCTCCTAGAATTTGAAAAGGAAAGTACCGAAACTTTTGATGAAATTAAAATAAAAATATTGCATTAATAATAAAAAAATCCAAGAACTGAAGAAGTAGATCCGTTTGCAATTGCTGCTTGTAATTTTTACAATTACTACCTCCTCATGGAATCGAGGTTTAATTTGATTTTTTGGTAACTTTCGGATTGATGCCCTTTTTGCTAAATATGTAAAAAGTGAATGGACAAGTCAAGGAAAAGAAGAAACTCTTGAATTTTGATTCTGTTGAAATCAGCAAATTAATTTAGAAGATTAGTGGATTTGATTCACTGACTATCTGTGAATACTAGAGAAGGATCTGATTCCGGTACGCAAAGAAAAAATGAGCTGAGACTTTCCGAAATGAAATGTTCATTAGTAAATACTGCAAATATTTAAGTTAGCAAGAGAATACTGAGATAAGCTAAAATCCGGCCGCCCATCCTACACAAAAACAGCAACACGGGTGGGACCACTTAGCAAGGAGGTTGCATCTGTGAGGCATCGGCGTTCCTCCTTTGTTTCTGTGAGGACTAAGGTCTTTGTCAACGGTATTTTAACGCGGATGAGAACAGCAGGATACTAGAAATTAATTTGACCTAGAGAGTAAGCCTAAAACTGGACGTATTTTAATCAAAGGGTACTGTGTCCACTGTGACTTGAGCCGTATCATGCATGTTTACTTATAGATTTCAGGGCTCATGTCACAAATGGATCAAGTTCATTTTGATTTCAGTATATCCAACTGGAGTGGATGGGGAGAGAATGGTGCTAAGTAAATTTTGAACACAGTTTTCTTGGTTTGAGAGAGAGAGTAGAGATACACCTTTTTTGCTCAGCATGGCAGTGAAGAAGGGTTTCCTACATTCTGGCCTCTTGAGCCTTACAGGATCATATGATCATGAAAATTTTAGGATACGCTCTCTGGGATATGTGAATGCTAAATCACTGAGTGTCAAAAAAAGAGCGTAAGATGCGATAAGCCCTTCTGCAGGCAAACTATTCAATTGATATGATTTCATTCACTTGGTCTTACCTGCAAGTCGTGGAGACTAAAACTTGAATCTGTAGCAGCTACTAACACATTACTTTGAAGTATAATTGTTTCTTTAAGTTTGGAACTAACTAAGAGACAGGCAGTGCCTAATAATTGTAACTGAGTTTTCTTAACAGCTATTGTACATAAGAACCTATCCATGTAGTTCATTGCCAGCGCAAACACCTCTTCTTGACATTGCTGCTCTTCACAAACCTGAGAAAAGAGAAAAACGACCTCATTTAAAGTCAACTCAGTTGCATCAAAATGAAATGTTGGTTTGATTGAAAATTCATTCCAACATTTGATAAATTTAAAACTTTGATGCAAAAAACTTTTGCATTCTTGTTAGCATTAAAATTAAAGACAGAGAATTCCAAAATTCCTGTTTATCTAGATAATCTGTATTCTCTATTGTTAATTTGCTTCTTAGTAAGTTGGTGGAATTAATGTAATTTGATTCAATTCAATTACGTAATTTAATTCATTTGACTCGAATTGAAATTTTTTTTGAATTTCTTGGCTTTGCTTTCTGCGCGAAATGGTGTGGATCCAGCACCATTTCTCCATCTTGTTATATACATATATTTATACATATAAACTAGTAATTTACAGTTGTTAGCTTAACTATCTTAACCAAAGCTGAGCTGGTATATGGTCTTTGAGCGAAAATGGCCCAGCCATTTAAATTTTAGGCTGTGGGTCAGTGGTGTTAGGGGAGCTAAGCCACAGTAAGTCGCAGGCGGCAAACTTTTAGGCACACTATTCGTTGATCATAGTTTGCAAAAATATGAATGCACTGTCCCACAGTAGGTCACTGAGGGCCGGTTCTATCACCTCTGGTCAAATCTGCTTGCTACCTAACCAAAGGATAAGCGTTTATCCTCTTGTCAAATGAAATGCCGTTTTATCACCTCTTGTCAAATAAAAACTGGTTTTATCACCTCTTGTCAATCACATGTATCCTATGGTTACTTACTTAAAATTGTACTATAGTTTTGAAAAACTTAGTGATAAAATGCTGTCAAATAAGGCTGGATTACCTTTAAAACTTCAGTTTACGAACTACATGAAAAAATCAGTAGCGAATAAGTAGGCGAATAACTGCCAGATGCAGTTATCAATATTTCAGAGGAATAGAAGAAAAACACAGAGCTGATGAAGGAACGTTTGCTGTGGACTGCAATATTAACCAAACAGAGGCCAGGATTTAAATTGGTAATTCTATACAACACGGTCTGCTATTTTCACTTGTGCATATCTCACCATGTAAAAACGAACCCAGGAGTGCTACTGTAGTGGTTTTTGTAGGATTAATATATGATCTGCCAACATTGTTTAATTAATGGAAATGATAAAGGCTACTCATCCGCCATTTTGTTTGTCAAAGTTGTTTGTCAAACTAGGAACTCCACCACTTTAAATGTATTATTTTCATGGGAGATGGATAAGATGGGAATGCAGTAGCTAGCAGTGCATCATATTTGATTGCAGCTCAGAAAAGGAGTTTAAACTACTTACATTTGAATATTATTATGTGTTTTAGAGGATCAGTCATCATTTCCCATGCTAATTGTCGTAAATAAAATTAAGGATGAAGATGATAGACCAACTATCGCACTCCAATCTCAGCTTGAATAATGCTTTCGATTTATCTGTATGTCTTAAATTTGATGCCTTCGCAGAGGGATATTACACATATGTGCATGCATTTTAAGCCTGAAGATGGCAGAGTAGTATCTATCGAGTCCACATTACTCTGGGAGGAAATTGAAGCCAAAAATTTGATCTTTCACTGATATCAGTGCGAGAGGAGGAAAGTAATCGGCTCGTGAAGGTTCGTTATTACATGAAAGCATTTTTAAGTGAGAAAATTCAATTGAACCTTTGCCCTTGAATTGTGATGAGAGGAGTAAATCTCTTTCGATGGAATGGATTTTTTTTAAACCAGCGTTATCAAATTTAATGCATCATATTGGTGTTCTTTTCAACGTCTACCTATTCTTTTATGGTCTCTGCTATTCTTCAAAAATTAAATCGCTCAGTATGTTTAATTGACTGCAGCGTATAGGTAGTTGCTTGTATTAAAATCCAATCGTAGACATTCCGATGTATATTTTACTGCTGTGAATTCAAATACCAACACACTAAGAGCTCATTCCAGCAGATCGATTGAAAGAAAGACTCGCCTTTTTCACAAGTACTTAATATACTTGGAATGAGAGTGAAGTAGAGTTATTGATAAATAAATTTGTATGAATTACAGAAAGAATAGAAACTGATTTCCGTTTGGTATTGAACCTAATTTGAGACTTAAAGAGATATTTTAGGTCGCTATTTACTTGACATGGACCTTTACAGCATTTAACGGGCTCAATTTAGGGCAGGGAAGAGAGGAACACAGGAAACGTTGTGGGAACCAAAATCACTTTGTTTTCAAGAACAATAGGTATGTTACTGTAAGGCAGGCGTTGAGTTTTTCCTCATTATGTTCATCTTTTCTATTTTCTCTTGAAATTGGCATTCATCATACTATCATTTACCCCCATTATTAGGCCATACTATAATTTCTGTAAATGATTTCACTAGGCATCTACCATTAAATCAATGTGCATAAAATGAAAGACACTGCGTGGCATTGATATTTTGTAAAATTAACAGACATTAGGTGCCCGTTTAAGTACGGACATGGTTCAAAGTTCTCTGGGGGGCAGTTTCTACCGAGAAAAGGACCGAAGTTTTTTCTTCCAAAGAGTGTTTAGATAATCTGACGAACTCCAAGGGACTCCTTAAAAATGGTTAGATTTGACGTTTAAATTTTGCAAAAATGGGCCCTTATAAAACCTCTCTTAGCTAGAAGTTACAGAGCGATTGCTCCTTAGCCTAATTTGCCACTGTTCAAGAGTACCTAGATGAAGATGTGCGTTTGATTATTTAATGGATTTACATACTCGCTCTCTGAATTAACATGCCTAGAATGCCTTACGCATAAACTTAGGGTTCAAAATTAAGTTTGCGGACACCAGCTGAGCGCTTAATTTTAAAAATCCTGTCCAATCCACATCGACTGCAGACAGGATGACATATCAGTCAGGAAATTGATAATGGTGACCAAATTACGGCCGTTATTGTTAGATTCAGGGCCCTAAGCTTAACTTACAGTGGCGCCCCTAAAAATAGGCGCTCTCGTGGGGGGGGGGGCCCACGAGAGCGCCCCCTGAAGTCCCCCCCTCTAGATCAGAAGGAGGATGTTAGATGTCTGGAAAATGTTCAAATTCACCTTTAAAAAAGCACTATTGTCAACCGCAACGTAAATATTTTCTAATACTTAAGTCACGCTTTTTAATAAATTCTCAAAAATTTTGCGCTCCTCAAAATGTTGCGCCTTAGCCTATAGCCTATTGGACTATTGGTAAATCCGGCCTTGATCAGTTTATATGTTAGGTAACTGTTACGTTTAACGATAAACAGTGAGTTGTCTTAACTCTGGGTATAAAGGGACTCAAGCCAATTTGAAGGCAGTGATGCGCAGAGGCCTGAAAAGGGCATATGCCTCTATTTCTTGAACAATGCAAATGTATCCGAAACGTACTTGATACCACGTGACGTCAAGAGGGTACAAAATGCCATCGCCAATATTTATCCGCTCTGCGGGCCGATTATTGAAATTTAAACCAGCCTGATAAGACATCGAATTGCGATATGTTGCATGGTTGAGATAGGGGATAGGGCTATGTCTTGTCGTGTCGGGCTGACATAGTTTCTTATTATTTGATCTCGTTCCTTCCAGTTTGACATCACGTGACGTTATTTGAATTGTGACGTCACGTGAATGAGAAATGGGAATCATCAAACTAATGGTGTTGACTTATTAAACTAAGGAAGTATAGTATCTCGATCAGCTGTTGCAATTACTCTGGTTATTCTTTACTTCACGGTCTGCTATTTTTTGTCAATTAAATTGATTAAAGCATTC